TAATCATCAATTCTTTTGGAATTTGTTTTGCTGTGTGAGTAATGATTTAGACTGACTTTCTTCCAGAGAGCTGTTCAATTAGCCCAACGCCATCTGCTAAAGCATACTCACATGTCTCCCCCTCACTGGAGACATCTGCAGAGAACCCTAAGCTAAGACGTCTGTGAAGAAAAATCTACAAAACTGCAGCTTCAAGGGACTCGACAATCAACGATTTCCAACAAATGTGAAAATAAATGTTCAGTTTTACTCTTAATTAAAGAAAACGCCCTCTCCCCCACCATTCGCTTGGCAGACACAGAAGTTCAGCTCCCAGAATGCTGGGATAGAAGACACGTGACAGAGCTGCCACACTGCCCTGCACAGAGAACTGACCAAGTCCCTCTGCACCAGATGCTCCCACGGCAGGACCACCCAGAGGGCTATCGAATTTCTGGACACTTGCTACTATGAGGAGTGAGGGTATAAAAAAAAAAAAAAAGAGGGGCCAGCGTTGTGGCGCAGCAGGTTAAAGCCCTGGCTTGAAGCGCCGGCATCCCAGTTCGAGTCCTGGCTGCTCCACTTCCAATCCAGCTCTCTGCTATGGCCTGGGAAATCAGTAGAGGATGGCCCAGGTCCTTGGGCTCCTGCACCTGCATGAGAGACCTGGAAGAAGCTCCTGGCTCCTGGCTCAGGATTAGCTCAGTTCTGGCCACAGTGGCTAATAGGGGAGTGAACCAGCGGATAGAAGACCTGTCCCTCTGCCTCTGCCACTCTGCCTTTCAAATAAATAAAATAAATCTTTAAAAAAAAAAAAAAGAAAGAATTATTGAATCCTCAAGGTTTGTACAGTGTCTGAGTGGAAATGAGGACCGTTTCCCGTGTTTAAGAGATATCCACATTTCCTTTTCTGGACGACCACTGACGAGACTTCAGCGGAGTTCTTCACCTTCCTGGGTCACTCTGCTGCAGATCTAGACTGGCGGCTTCCTGCAGGCAGGTCCTTGGCTCTCCTACAGCTGGTCTGTAGAAGCCTTGCCGGCACAGAGCGGACATGCACACCTACTGATTAAACAAACGACTTTGTGCTTTCAGACTAAAATAACAGAGTTCCATGACAGGTTAAATTCTTCATGGCTCATCTGAGTAAGAGGAGGGTTATTTTCCCACAAGAATCCAGGAGGATCGTGGGATTCACTCTGACACACAGAATGCGGCAAATGATTGTTCCAAGACTCGGTCTCAAGAGACTTTGTAACTTCTGCTCTCCTGGCATATTCCCACCTACTCTAGTCTACTGTAGGGTGAGGGGCAACGGCAGGACGTGCTGAGGCCACCCGCACCCGCTATGTGCAGGGAGCTGGCAGGCGACTGCAGGGCACACTCCCAGTCACAGCAGCCCAGTGGGCTCCTCAACACACGTGGTGAGTGTCTCAGGCCTGCGTCTTAGAGCAGTTTGTGACGCAGCCACAGACAGCCAGGTGAACTCCAGCGTGCAACATGCTCCTGGGCCGAGACCCTTACGGGTCATCCCTAAAAGGAACTACACCACAGCCACTCTTCAGAACCACAGACAAGAGACGATCCCAAGATACACACGGACCGACTTCACAAAGTTCCCGGAAACGTGACGTAGAAGATAAGCTGATTTTGGCGCAAAAATGTCTTTGAAATCCATGCCTGATTTTTTCCGTAACACGAATGTCCTGTGACCTCTGTGGAGCCTCCTTGTAAAGGAAAGCCTCGGCCCTGCGGTCTCAGACCCAGGCCTCCCTGCGATGCAGACACTGTCCCTCACGCGATGGTACAGGTGGGCCCACCGCGGTCCCCAGAGGGTAAGTGGAGGGAGGCCTGGCTGCAGAGCCCGCGCTCCCAGCATGTGGAGCTCCTCCGCTCACCCCGCGCCGCCTGCTCCCGTCTCTCTTCCTTTCTTTAGTCCACTACAGCCTTCCCCCGCTTCTTCGCCATATTCCCAACACTTAAATTCAAACTCAGTTTTCTGGATTTTAGTGGAGCTAACTGTTATCTGAATGAGCCACTCTCAGCATTCATGATCTTAACCTAAGGAAAATTAACTTTAAAAAAAGCCTGAGAAATAATCTGAGATAGAGCACAACTGACTATAGAAACCAAGGAGGGAAGCCTGGGGTGGGTCCTCCCATCAGCAAACCCCAACTACGAAGCTCTCTTACCACACATCTCTTCAACATGGCGACCCAGGGAAGGGCATTTATGAGGCCCGCTCAGGGACGACAGCACACAAAGTCACCTCATCAGTAATGCCTGCTAGCTATACTGTGAAGTTCTAACTGAAAAAAATCCCATAATCAGACTATATTATACAGCCAGATAATTACAACCACCTAGGTAGAAGCTCTCACACACTGGTACAACAAAATATTGGAGGTTACTTTGGGATTCTGGTAATTAGGAATATTTGTTATTCTCTTATCTCTTCTTTCTATACTTTGAAATTGTCTACAGGCCGGCGCCTCGGCTCACTAGGCTAATCCTCTGCCTGCAGTGCTGGTACCCCGGGTTCTAGTCCCAGTTGGGGCACCGGATTCTGTCCCGGTTGCTCCTCTTCCACTCCAGCTCTATGCTGTGGCCCGAGAGTGTAGTGGAGGATGGCCTAAGTGCTTGGGCCCTGCACCCGCATGGGAGACCAGGAGAAGCATCTGGCTCCTGGCTTCGAATCAGCGCGGTGCGCCAGTTACAGTGCGCCTGCCGTGGTGGCCATTAGGGGGTGAACCAACGGAAAAAGAAGACCATTTTCTCTCTCGGTCTACTCTGTCAAAAAAAAAGAAAAAAAAAAAAAGAAATTGTCTACAATAACATACCACTCTTATACATAAGGAAATAAAAATAGAGCTTCTCTTATAACCAAAAGAAATTCAATTCTAAACAAGCAAGTGTGGGCCAGTGCTGTGGTATAGCAGGTGAAGCTGCCGCCTGCAGTGCCGGCATCCCATATGGGCACCAGTTTGAGTCCTGGCTGCTCCTCTTCTGATCCAGTTCTCTGCTATGGCCTGGGTTAGCAGTAGAAGATGGCCCAAGTCCTTGGGACCCTGTCACATGGAAGACCTGGAAGAAGCTCCTGGCTCCTGGCTTCGGATCAGCACAGCTCCAGCCATTGTGACCATTTGAGGGAGTGAACTGTCTCCAACTCCACCTCTCAAATAAATTAAAAAAAAAAAAAAAGTTTTTTTTCTCAACATTTATTTGAGAAGCAGAATGGGGTTGGCGACAGAGACAGGACAGAGGTTATCTTCCACCTGTTGGTTTAATCTCCAAATGGCCACAACAGCTCAGCTGAAGCCAAGAGCCAGGAACTCCATCTTGGTTTCTGACCAGGTGATAGGGTCTAAGCACTTGGACCATCTCCCACTGCTTTCTTAGATGTATTAACAGGAAGCTGAGCAGCTGGGACTCCTGGCATTGCCAGCGGTGACTTAACCTGTTGCACCATGCCACTAGCCCTCCTTTTCCACTTTTTAAGATTTTCATTTATTTATTTGATCGGTGAAATTGCAGACAGAGAGATGGAGAGACAGAGAAAACAGTCTTTCATCTGCTGGTTCACTCCCCAAATGACTGTAACAGTTGGAGTTGGGCCTATCTGAAGCCAGGAGCCTCTGCCAGGTCTTCCACATGGGTGCAGGGGCCAAGGACTTGGGCCATCCTCTCCTGCTTTCCCGGGTACATTAGCAGGGAGCTGGATTGAAAGTGGAGCGGCCAGGACTCAGACCTGTATCCATATGTGGTTCTGGCACTGCAGGTGGTGGCTTTACCCCCTACACCACAGCACCGGCCCCTCAAGGATATCCGAGTTTTAGGAGACTTGTCCCCATCATGGAACCACGGCAGTCTCTTGATGGGATGTTTCCATTGTCCCTAAAAGTTGCTTTGTGCCCCTAGCAGCCAGGCCTTTCTCACACCCTCTGCCAGTCACCTATCTGATTTGTAACCTTGTAGATCATATTGATGGAGTCTCTATGTCTACAATTCTTCCATTCAGCACGCTGCATGTGAGGTTTATGAAAGCCTGTGTTGTTGCTTGTATCAGCTTCTTCTATGAACATACTGGGCTAATTAGATACCTATGTGCTAAGTAAATAATAAATAAGTCATAGACCTAAATAGGATCCAAAACTGTGGAGCTTAAAAAAACAAAAAAACAAAAAACCAGAATCTTCATACCTTCATAACCTTAGGGTATGTGAAACCATTTTTTACAAATGATACATTAATTTATTTAATTTTTAATTGCATGATTATTTATTCCCATTTAATGTGTGTCTATGTATATTAGGCAGCTGTTTTTAAAAGTTTAGACTGTTGGGGGTCAGCACTGTGGCATAGCAAGTCAGGTAAAGCTGCCGCCTTCAGTGCCAGCATATTATATGGGCACCGGTTTGAGTCCTGGCTGCTCCACTTCCGATCCAGCTCTCTGCTATGGCCTGGGGAAGCAGAAGAAGATGGCCCAAGTGCTTGGGCCCCTGCACCCACGTGGGAGACCCGGAAGAAGCTCCTGGCTCCTGGCTTTGGATTGGCGCAGCTCCGGCCGTTGTGGTCATCTGGGGGAGTGAACCAGTGGATGGAAGACCTTTCTCTCTGTCTCTATCTCTCTCTGTAACTCTGTCTTTCAAATAAATGAAATACATCTTAGAAAAAGAAAAACTAAACAACAAAAACTCCTTAGACATGCACATTGACTCTAAAGGGTGAATTTTCCTCTGTTGCAAATCATTCTTTAATATCTGGCTTTACCAACTATCAAGTGCGAGATAAAAAGGCTTACAATGTTAAGCAGGCTCCTACACTTTCTTAATCCTCGTCACCCCAGACTCCCTTACCCTTGGCCACTGCTCCCCAACAAAAGGGAAAGACCACCATCTACGGTAGTGAGCCCTCACTAAGGCATCATCCGTGGCCACAGGCCAGTGATGTACCAACTTACAAATAGAGCGAAGAAGCACACAGGAAGCCAACCCCCAGGAAACTAATGAGGGAAGACTTACCTTTGGAGTCAGCATTTGGAAACAGCCTGTTCCATGGCACCTTGTTTTTGTGTGGAAGAGAAAGCAAATAGTTTCTGGCTTTTAAGTTTATTATACAATTCAGGTCTTCTTGTGAAGGGGATCCAAGAATACCTATCAGATAAAATAATTAATTAGCTATTAGTTATCACGACCACAGCAAATTGACCACGCATGTGAGCTGTGGGGTAGAATGAACCCTGGTGCTTACCCAGTGCCACCTTTAACAAGTATTCATAAAAAGGCCCTTAGCATCTTAACTCAGGGTCACAAATTCACGTCCACCTCAGCTACAGATTTCTGAGAACTCTTCTCAACTGAAGGCGGTGGCTGTGAAGTGAGCAGGCCTCGGCCCTTACCCAGAATGTGGTTCAGCTGGTCCAGGTAGTGCTTCCCCGGGAAGATGGGTCTGTTGGAGAGCATCTCCGCCAGGATGCAGCCTACAGACCAGATGTCGATGGACTTGGTGTAGCCCTGCAGCGGGAAGCAAGCGGGGGACACCTGGTGTCACACAGCACAGCGAGGTCTTCCCACACCATAGGACACAGCTCGGGAGAGGCTCAGCTTCTCCTCTCTGGAATCCCCAGGATGGCTTCACCCATTGTAAGGATCACGTGAAGAGTCAGGTGGAAAAAATCTTTCCTCCATCCCCTCGGTCCCCACAGAGCAGATGGCACTCTCATATTTTACCCATCTCTGTTTTCAATTTCTTTTTCTACTCATTTTTCAGGCACTAATTTTTCTTTGAAGGAATTCTGCTAAGTCACAGGAGAACTCTAAATCCTTACAGTATAAAAAAGATGTTTTTCTAAGGAATATAAGTTGAATTTTATGGAAAATGTTGCAAACAGTAATAAATATAAGGAGAAATGTGGAAATAGCCAGAGAATAAAAATTTGGGTCAAGTGTTAAAACTTAGGGAAACAGTGAAATCTTTTTGGAAAACAAAGAATCAGTGATTAAGATTCACAGGATAAAATTGGGTTGGATTGCCAATCCGAAGCCAGGAGCCTCTTCCAGGTCTCCTATGTGGGTGCAGGGACTCAAGGACTTGAGTCTCCTCTGCTTTCCCAGGCCACAGCAGAGAGCTGGATCAGAAGTGGAGCAGCCGGGTCTCAAATTGGTGCCCATATGGAATGCTGGCACTGTAGGCAGCAGCTTAACCTGCTATGGTACAGCACCGCCCCCGGCTTTTTAAGGTTTCTTTTGAAAGGCAAAGTTGGGGGTGGGTAGAGGATATCTCTTCCATCTGCTGGTTCACTCCCCAAATGGCTGCAATAGTCAGGGCTGGGCAGGCCAAACCCAGGAGCCAGGAGCTTCTTCCTGGTCTCCTACATGAGTGTGGAGGCCCAAGCACTTGAACCATCTTTGGGTGCTTTCCCAGGCGCATTAGCGGGGAGCTGCATCAGGAAGTAGAGCAGCCGGCCTTGAGCTGATGCCTGTATGGGATGCCAGTGTTGCAGGTGGAAGCTTAACCTGCTGCACCACAATGCTGGCCCCTCTTAAAATCCAAAATAATCTTTGTTTTTGGCCAAAGTTAAATAAAGGGAAATTTAAAACCAACATGGACACGCACCCACACAGCACCAAGCAGAGGTGTGTTCTGATGCACTTCACAGAGAAGGAACAAAGCATCACTGCTGTGGTACTTACACAACATGCGTGGTTCTACAAACCAGCTTACCTGTGTTCTGCAAAAATGTCGCTGAGTGAATGCTGATCGTCTTAGGTGGGCTAAGGGTTCCCTGGCTTTAGGGAAGTACACCCCCTTTCTAGAATTATCAGTGTTTCCCAAGGGGGCACGAGTGAAGTGACGGACCAGGCTGGTGCAGAGTGAAGACGGTCAGACCAAGAGGAGAGCGCGGAGAAGACGAGAGGAGAGAAAGGTGGGGAGCAAGGGGAAGGAAGGGTATGATGCCAACGGCAGGGGAATGAAGGTGAGGGGTACAGGGGCAGTCACTGTACTCTCAGTTTTTCTATGGGCTTTAAAGATTTTTAAGTTAAAAAAAAAGAATAAAGTTGAACACGTCACTAGAAAGATGATCCTAGGCTAGAGGTGTTACAAGTAAATAAGAATCTCCACAAAGGTTCCCACACAGTAAGCCCATAGGTAGAAGGGGCGAGAGCCTCTGGAACATGCAGAGAGCCCACCCTCTCTGGCTGTGTCCCCCTGGGGGGCAACTGGGGCACCTCAAGATGGAATGGCGACACGAGACCAAGTAGCCACCAGATGAAAGACACACGGGCACCCCTTGCTAGGAACGACTGTCCACGGCTGGCTGGAGATGCAACCTGCTGTGTGGGATTATTTGTAACACAATTATGAGAGTCAACACAGCACTTTCTTCTCTGAAACATCTGTTACACCAAATCCTTCTTTCTAGTGGAATTGATCTTAATGAGCTTACTTTTGGAACTAAAATGAACAAATGTAGGTTATCAGGGATAACTGCTTTAAATAATCCCATTTCCTAACTACAGTAATCTAACGGCTTCTCCTTACTTGCGGAGGACGGAGGAAGAGCACGGAGCCTGTGAGCTTAGGAGCCCTGCTCTTCCATTTCCACCCAGCCTCCCGACTTCACTCCTGGCTCCTGGGCCCCAGACTTACGGTGCAATGTCTGTTCACATGACTCCTCCCACACTACTTTCCAGCAGATGGGGCTGTGCTTAGGAATCTCAGAGTCCTGCGATACCAGACAAACGTAACCATGCCAGGCCCACCTAGCTACCTAATTTTGGCACGTTGCTCACACGCTCTCTGCAAACGAGGCATGAAAAGCCACCGTATTCACGGCAGCCTTCAACTTTTGCCTGCTTGCTCATAACCTAACACACCCGTCACCCTTTCGCCTTCTGGTGCTTCTGCAGAGGTATTCAATCATTTCTGAGGAGACACACAGATCTTAGCAGAGCTCAGATGCGACAGGATGCGCTCTCCACAGCCACGTGGAGGCACAGGGGAAGGCCCTTTCCTGGCAAACACAAGTACCATGTAACTTTGAAGGAATCACAAGAGCTGTAGGTCTTCTTCAGGGAGAAGAGACATTCCTCATTATAAAGGTACAGCTGATTTAGACAGCACAGCCCTGGTTCGGTGCTGAGATGACCAGGAAGCCTCTGGTACACGCCCAGGCAGTGGTGTTGGTAGGTGCAGCTTCCACAGGCAGGACTGACCAAATGGCAGGACACAGACCACTTACAGTCACAGCGACCGGGAGGCTCAACCTGACGCGAGGACAGGTCAGCACCACCCCAGCCACGGTGCAGTGGCTGAACCAGGGCCCAGAAGTTCTAATGCAGTACGATGAGATAAAACAGTGCCTTGGCTCCAAGCCTCCACGCAAGTAGAAACAGGTTGGAGAGGGAGGCCTCCTACAACCCACATGCAAGGTTTTCTTTTTATGCAAACTTGGTCCTTACCTTGGAATTCAGCATAATTTCTGGAGCCCTGTACCAACGCGTGGCTACATACTCTGTCAGGAACCCTGTGTGATCATGGTCCGGATCCGCAACGCGGGCCAGGCCGAAGTCACAGATCTGAGAGGGAAAACAAAACAAAACACAGGACATGTCTTAAAGATTCTAAACAGCCTGACATCAGAACATCATAAAAATAAAAACAGAAAACAGCAATGATACAAAAAGTAGTTTCTTCTACCACCACGCAGCAGACACTTGGTGACAAGTCTACAAATTCACAATTATTTAATCCTCCCAACAATCAGGATGGCAGTGATGATGCTCCATGCGTCAGGGACCAGGAAACAGGCTGGCTGAATCAATAGGGCACAGTGTAAGGGGCTCTCCTCGCTTTCACTGTCTGCTTAGCACACCACAGTCTTGCTTGGGTGAACTGAGAAAAATGGTTCTGGCTAAAGTTACAAAGCTACTTGGGGCCCTTTTTTGGCCCTGTTCTGCAGGGGCTCCTGGAATCATCACTGCCAGGACCCCCACTTGCCTTCTATTTCTCAAATTCCCGTTGGCCCATCAGTAGTTATTGCAAAGTTGCTTTCCACTTCCTTCCCCTTCTATGTAGTCAAATCTACTCCCAAAGGCGCAGCTCTGGCCATTGTGGCCAACTGGGGGAGTGAACCAGTGGATGTAAGACCTCCCTCTCTCTCTCTGTCTCTGCCTCTCCTTCTCTGTGTAATTCTTTCAAGTAAATAAATAAATATTAAAAAAAAAACAAACAAACAAACCCACAACTCTTTTCAAGACTGTCAAAAGACAGCTTGTCTCATTTTCCTTTTTTCTTTTTCTAACTGCTGCACCAAAGGTCAACCAAGTCTAACTCATACTACTCAGTCGAGTGCCCAGGCTACAAAACGTTGAGAGCAGTGACAGGGAGTGCTCCACACAACACAGAATGTGAGGGCAGTGACGGCGTGAGCTCCATGCCATGGAAGGGAAACTTGGTTAATCCTCCGCCTGTGGCGCCGGATTCTGTCCCAGTTGCTCCTCTTCCAGTCCAGTCTCTGCTGTGGCCCAGGAAGGCAGTGAAGGATGGCTCAAGTGCTTGGGCCCTGCACCTGCATGGGAGACCAGGAGAAGCACCTGGTTCCTGGCTTTGGATCGGCCGCAGCACGCCGGCTGTAGCAGCCATTTGGGGGGTGAATCAACGGAAGGAAGACCTTTCTCTCTGTCCCTCTCTCTCTTTTATTTATTTTATTTATTTCTTTATTTTTTTGACAGGCAGAGTGGATAGTGAGAGAGAGACAGAGAGAAAGGTCTTTCTTTGCCATTGGTTCACCCTCTAATGGCCACCACGGCTGGCGTGCTGCGGCCGGCGCACCACGCTGATCCAATGGCAGGAGCCAGGTGCTTCTCCTGGTCTCCCATGCAGGTGCAGGGGCCAAGGACTTGGGGCATCCTCCACTGCACTCTGGGCCACAGCAAGAAGAGTTGGCCTGAAGAGGGGCACGGGACAGAATCGCGCCCGATCAGATAGAACTCGGTGGTGCCGGCGCGCTAGCGGAAGATTAGCCTAGTGAGCCGCAGCGACGGCCTCTCTGTCCCTCTCTAACTCTGCCTGTCAAAAAAAAAAAAAAAAAAAAAAAAAGAGATCTAGAAGAAGAAACACGGAATTACCCCTTAAACTTCAGCAGTCTTGTATGTCTATCTTCTGGGCTGAATAAATACAAACTTTGTTACCACAAAGGAAACCCAGCCCCAAAGACATTTTGCGTCTCCTAGTCCTCCTCCAAGCAGGCCAGTACCATATGTGTTCAGATCCCTGCTTCCCGGGCTTCCTCTTGGGGATTTCACGTGGTCAGTCCAGCAAAGGCAGAGGGCACAGTCTGGTGCAGATCACAGTCTCCCCTACCCCCCAGGCTCCCTGCCCTAGATCGGCTGCAAACATGCCAGCACAACTGCAAACAGACCCATAACCCCGTGTGGGTCTGGGGCCCTGAGAGGTCAGCATTGCGGGGCCTCGGGGCTGCGGGGAACAAGCCAGAAGAGCACGGGTGGAAACCAGAAACCAAAGCCAGCTTTTAGCTGCGAGCCCACACAGGGCTAAGCACCAAGGACAGCTGACGTCCTGAGTGTCAAGAGTAGGGAACACTTCAGCAACACGGAAACCCATGGTAAAGGGGAAGAAATGACACAACTCCCTGCTTGAAAACCCAGAAGGACCTTAACAGTGTGAGGTCGGGGGGGCCACAGGGCCTGCAGGAAGGGTGTCCGTCACCACAGGGACTGAGTGTGTGAGTCTGAGACTAAGGTTCCAGACGGCAGAAGCCCCCCGTCTGTCAGCAGCACTTCGTCCACGTCACGCTGGACGCTGGCCCGTATGCACCCTGTCCTATTTGGACGTGTTCACTGTGACCAATCAGTGACTTCAGTTCTCACTCACCTTCTCTCCTGAATAGTTAGACACGGGTGAATGATATGCACTCCACACGTATGTGAACTGCAATGATTTGAATACCTAACAACATCCTGTGTGGGGCTGGCATTTGGCACAGCAGTTAAGACACGGCCTGGCACGCTGCTATCACATACTGAAGTGCCTGCTTAGAGCCCCAGCTACTCTATTTTTTTATTAAAGGATTTATTTGAGAGTTACAGAGAGATAGGGAGAGACATGGGGAGATCTCCCGTCCACTGGTCCATTCCCCAGTTGGCCACAATGGCCAGGCTGAATCCAGGAACTATATCTACTAGGTCTTTCATGTGGGTGCAGGGGCCCAAACATTTGGGCCATCTTCTGCTTTCCTAGGTCATCAGCAGGAAGCTGGATTGGAAGCGGAGCAGCCAGGACTGAACAGGCACCTGTATGGGATGCTGGAGCTGGCTTTACCTGCTATGCCACAATGCTGGACTTGCTACTCCACTTCTGATCCAGCCTCCTGCTAAATGCACAACTTGGGAGGCAGAAATATCAGTGGTTCAAATATTTAGGTCCCTGCCATCCACTTGGGAGATCCGAATTCCTGGCTCCTGGCTTCGGCCTGGCCCAGTCCTGGCTGTTGTGGACATTTGGGGAGTGAACCAGCAGATGGAAAATTTCTCTGTTTTCCTCTCTCTGCCTTTCAAATAAAATGAAAATAAAAACTAAGTACACACACACAAACACACACTCTATATGTGGATACATAGTTACCCAGTTGTGTTTCTATGTGTTTAATTTTGAAAACCATGCCTGGATTAAGCAGATGATCAATACACACACACACACATATGAAATCAGTGTGGGTATAACATTTGACAAAGAGATGAATAAAATGGCCCTAAGTAAAGACAAGCCCATCAACAGTGAAGAGATAACAAAGTATTTTGGTTCTGACTCTTATTTTTAAGGATGAACCGTTTTCAAGTAAAAATAAGAGCCAATTTTTCCCTAAAATATTATATACTGAGAATGTCTCTCTAAAAACAAACAGAAACAATCTGCTGTAATGGGGGGGGGGGGTGATAAGACACTGCACGGAAAAAAAGCACAAGGAAACATTCAAATATTTATTATGATTTTATAAGAAAATCACTAAAGGTCAAAAACCTAGTATAGCCATTCCTAAAAGCAGCTTCGTTCTTCACGCGTCCACCTGGCTTTTACTAGGACATATGCGGGAAAGGAGTAGGTGACAGCCTGGGCAGAACAAGTGGGCAACAGGAGGCTCCCAAGAGCGGACAGCGTCCCATCTCCCACCCACGTGTACCTGGTGAAGGAAGCCACCCTCTGTACCTCCTTACTCAACACCAGCCACGCGGCTTCAGAGAGGAGTACACAAGCTGCCCACGGCACGATGGAGCCCAGGCGTCTCTCAGAGTCACAGCAGACTCCGCCATCACCCCTCATCCACTGCTGTGGCCACGCAAAGGAAGACTCAACGTTCTGTGCACTAGGCCCTCATTTCGCATCTTCAGGCCTACTGTGCCCTTTGCTTACCCAAGGAAAAACTGCTCTTACCCAGAGGGCCAGCATACACACCACCTTCCTCCTGCCGCCTCTCACAGCCCCAGGCACAACCAGCCCACCTCTGGGCTTTGCTTTTGCACACTCGTTTCATATTTTCACGACTGTGTACTGACTATCACCTCTGACCCATTGGTGTCCAGAGTTCAGGGACATACGCTTGTCTCCTTTCCTGGTGTGCCTTTCACAGTTCCTCGCAGGAACGTCTGCTAACTGAACTGGGAGAAGTGACTACTGCTACACATCTATATGTACTTTTGTAATGGCTTCAGATATAATTCACATACTGTATAATTCACCCATTTAAAATGTACAGCTTCGATAACCATGAAATCATAAAACCATTCCCACTATCCAATTTGAGAACATTTTTATCATCTCAGAAAAGAACTAGCAGGCCACTCCACTCTCCCCTACACCAATCAGCCTAGAGAACCACCACGCTACCTCTGCTTCCACAGATTTGCCTGCTCCGGACATTTCACATAAGCACCATGTTTTCTCATGGGCTTTTCTCACAGGCACCGTGTTTGCAAGATTCAGCCACCATGTTAGTCCTACTCCATTCCTCTTTATCCCACTGCATGGACCTACTGCACTGTATTCTTCCATCATCACATGCCATCTGGATTGCTCTCACTTTTGGCCATAACTTAATATTCTTATGAATATTTGCATGCAAGGTTTTGAGTGGACACATGCTTCCATTTCACCCAGACTGCTAGAGTGGAATCCCTGCCACCATCACTTATTATTTGGCTTTTCAATTGTAATTATTCTAGGGAGTGCAGAGTGGTATCTCGTAGTGACCTTTGCATTTCTCAACTGACTAATGATATCAAGCATCTTTTCATGTGTTTACTGGTCCTCTGTATTTCTTCCTTAGCAAAATGTTTGTTCAGATCTTTAGTTCATTTTTAACTTCAGCCATTCCCCTTTTTATTAGAGTTCTACGAGTCCTTCATATACTCTAGTTGTAATTCCCCTATGACAAATATGATCTGCAAACGTCTTCTCTTACCCAGTGGGTTGTCTTCACTTTCTTAATGAAACCACTAGGAAACTTTGTATGATAATTTTGAGGAATCCATTTACCTTTTCCTTTTGTTGCTTCGAGTTTTTTGGTGTGTCTAAGAAGCTTTACCTAACACAAGATCATAAAGATCTACTTCTGTGGTTTTTTGTTGTTGTTGTTCAAATTCTGTTTACTTATTTTTGTATTATTTGAAAGGTGGAGAGACAGAGATCTTCCATCTACTGGTCCACTCCCCAAATTCCCCAACGCTGGGGCTGGTTCAGGCTGAAGCCAGGAACCTGGAGCTCAACCTGGTCTCCCAGGTGGGTGGCAGGGACCCAAGCACTCAAACCATCACCTGCTGGCCTCCGATGCAATTTCCTCTTTCTCCTGTATGTGGGTATTTATTGTCCCGGCACCATCTGCTGCAAAGACTATTCTTTCCCCAGTGAGCAGACCTAGCATCCTTGTGAAAAACAGTCAGCCATCGACATAGAGGTTTCTCTGTCTCCTTAGTTTCTTTTTATTTCAGAGACAGACACAGACAGAGATGGACAGATAACACAGATAAGACAGAGAGCGCACTTCCATCCTCTAGTTCATTTTCCGAGTTACCCACAATGGCTCGGGGTTGAAGCTGGGAGCCAGGAGCTTATTTTAGGCTTCCCTGTAGGTAGCAGGAACCTAATTACTTGAGCCATCACCACTGCCTCCCAGGGTTCACATTAGCAGGAAGGAGTGAAGAGCCAGAGCTCGGACCTGAAAAAAGGCATTGTGAAATGGGATGCGGGCGTCTTAAGCCAATGTTTGTCCCCTTGTGTAGGTTCAGTAGACCAAATCCACACCCTTTCAGGGCATCTAAGACATCCACAGATCTTCCTCCGTATTTAGCTCTGCCATCTATTAAAACAGAAACAACGTCCTACATATCTTCGGAAGAAATCTGAGGACTGTAAAGACTGGGTTTTCCCATTTATCTGGAATACCTTAGTAGGTATTAAAATCAGGGAGGTTACATTTTCTACTGATGGTTTTTTTTTTTTTGACAGGCAGAGTGGACAGTGAGAGAACAGAGAAAGGTCTTCCTTCCATTGGTTCACCCTCCAATGGCTGCTGTGGCCTGCACACCGTGCTGATCCTAAGCCAGGAGCCAGTGCTTCTCCTGGTCTCCCATGTGGGTGCAGAGCCCAAGCACTTGGGCCATCCTCCACTGCACTCCCGGACCACAGCAGAGAGCTGGACTGGAAGAGGAGCAACCGGGACAGAATCCGGCGCCCTGACTGGGACTAGAATCTGGTGTGCCGGCGCCACAGGCGGAAGATTAGCCTAGTGAGCTGCGGCGCCAGTCTTATTAATGGTTTTTTAAAAGATTTATTCATTTACTTGAAAGGCAGAATGATTTGCAGGAAGGGACGAACAGAGAGAGATGTGCATCTTCTGTCCACTGGTTCACTCCCCAAATGGCCACAACAGCTGGGGCTGGCACCAGGCTGAAGTCAGGAGCCAGGAACTCCATCTGGGTCTCCCACATGGGTGGCAGGGACTCAAATACTTGAGCCATCAATCACAGCTTCCAGGAGCATCACCAGGAAGCTGCATCAGAAGCAGGGTAGCCAGGATTTGAACCGGCACTCCAAAACATGGAATGTAGGCATCCTGTATCTGAATGCCATGCCAGCTCCTCTTCAGACGCTAGCTTCCTGCTAATAAAGTGCACCCTGGGAGGCAGCAGGTGATAGCTTAAGTACCTGGGTCTCTGCCACTGTCACTGTCACTGCCTCTGTCACTGTCGCTTGTTCTCTTGCTTGCTCTGCTTTTCAAATAATAATTCTTACTAATGCAGAATCTCAGATCTCATCAAAACACAGCATTTTCATTAACATAAAAAAACCTTAGGGTTCGGTGTTATGGCGCAGGGGGTTAATGCCCTGGCCTGAAGCGCTGGCATCCCATGAGGGCGCCAATTCGAGACCCAGCTGCTCCACTTTCAATTCAGCTCTCTGCTATGGCCTGGGAATGCAGTAGAAGATGGCCTGGGTCCTTGGGCCCCTGCACCTGCGTAGGAGACCTGAAAAAGCTTCTGGCTCCTGGCTTCGGATCGGCGCAGCTCCAGCTGTTGCGGCCAACTGGGGAGTGAACCATTGGATAGAAGACATCTCTCTCTCTCTCTCTCTCTCTCTCCCTCTCCCTCTCCCTCTCCTCTCTGTGTAACTCTGGCTTTCAATAAATAAGTCTTAAAAAAAAACCTTACACACAAAATACATATTATTATATATGCATATATTTACATACATGAAGTATAGAAGCACAGGCAAAAAACTGGATAAAGGTACACCAATCTGTTATGGTGGTTAGTTATCTCTGGGGAGAAAAGGGTAATGAGATGGATGAGGAAGAGGAGGACTTGCATTTTTTCCAGAAATGCCATTTTCACGTATTTCTGGTATAATTTTAAACACAAATACAACCACGGCTTAGCAAGCATTCCCCCCCTATTTTCCCACACATCATGCAGGAGTCCCAAGCTGGCTGACCTTGAGATCACAGGTGGTGTTGAGCAGCAGGTTGGAAGGCTTGAGGTCACGGTGCAGAACGTTGGCTGAATGGATGTATTTTAACCCTCTGAGGATCTGGTAGAGAAAATAGCAGATATGGTCGTTGCTGAGGTGCTGTGTCTTCAAGAGCTTGTAAAGATCTGTTTCCATGAGGTCCTGGACTATGTATCTGTTTGCACAGGTTAAGTCAAAACACTGATGGCAAAGCACAGCAGACAAGACGCACGTCACTCCACTGTCGCACTGCGAGTTCTGAAGGCAAAGGAGAAACTGAGAAAGACTTGGTGTCCCTTCCACAAAGGACTCTCAAGTAGTTAATTCCTGTCAATTGGACTAGACAACAGGCACAGAGCAGGCTGGCAGACCCGGCTAGCCGGCCATCCACTGCCAACAAATACCTGTGAGGCTTGCTGGAAGAGGCTGGGAGAGTGGCTGGCGACACCCCAGGCTGCTCCTCTGTCCCAGCATCAGTTTGGAATTTTACTGCTCCTTCTCCCTCCTTCTTGCCCCCATCTGCACCAAGATCAACCATAAAAGTTCAGAAAGATCAGTCTAGAGATACGCTGTTGCTAAATCCTGTCCGCAGTCTGCTTTCTGGCTCCCTGGAGACCCTGGGAAGTCAGGGGAGGCTTGTGCTGGTTTTGCTCCTCATGCTTTCTTGCCCTGCCCTGCATCTCAGCACCCAAACCTGAGCTGCACTAGCAGTCTTCTTTCTTACAGAAAGAAAGTTAAAAGCCTGAGCTTTTAACTCCACCCTAATAATTCAGTTAGCAGAGCCTGAGGGCTTCTTTTATTAATTTCTACGCAACTCCTTTCTATTTGCTGTCTCCTACAGATTCACGCCAGATGAGAAGCAGCGTGAGCGTGTAACTACAAGGAGGCCTGACTTAACCCCTGTCATCTGCCAGACATATTTTCACCCTTCTCCTTCTCTCAAAAGGACCTTTCTCTACCCAGGCAGCTTCGTCGGGGCCTCCTCAGTCCGGGTTTCTGAATGCTGGTAGAGATCACCAGGTGCTTTCAGGGCTGGGTTGCCTTAACGAGGCTGAGTCCTACAGAGAGGGTACTCACGGTCTGAGATCAGGACGGAACTGATGGAACCAGTGGGCCGTCCAGGATCTCCTTTCCTGCTCTACTTACTGCTTTTTCCGTTTCCCCAACCAAGTAGCTCGTCCCTGTGATGACTGGAAACGCATCCACCAAGATCTCCAACAACCACACTTAGAGCACTTCTCCTCTCCCCCAGCACACCCAGGAGATTTCAAGTGGTGTTCACTCAGCGAGGTGAGGCCGAGCATGGGGTTAGCTGCCAGGAAAGGATACACATCTTTCATCTGCTCAATGGTTGGGGCTCGAATAATGTCATTGATTCCAATGATGTTCTCATGTCTGAAGCGCAGTAAGATTTTTATCTCCCTCAGGGTTCGCTGGCAGTAGGTCTGGTGCTCAAAAGGACTGATTTTCTTGATAGCCACTCGAACTTTGTTGACATTATCATAAGCAGAGCTTAAAAAAGAGAGAGAGAGACAGCATTAAAAACAGCACACAGAATACACAAACTGGTAAAGCACTGGATCTTCAATACAGTGCCCAGGTATCCCTTTCACACCCGTGAAGGCAGCACAGCCACAGGAAGGCCTCCCGCTCAGGCGGAAGCTGCTGACACAGGACAGCACAGACCGCACCTCGAGCTCCACCCCGGGGCCTGGCCTGAGCACTGGGTGCATGTCCCTCTGCATGAATCAGAGACACAAGCAAGCACATTCCGGCCACACAGATCGCCCTGCCTCCAAACAATGTCTGACTGTTGGGTCCGACTCCTCGGACTCCGCAGAAACGTGCAAGTGACCATCAACCACGCGTCTGTCCCTAACAAAACCAACGCAGGTGGAGACCTTGATTGTTTCTGCCAACTCTGTCTCACCTGAAAAATGAGGCACCCGTTTTTCCCCTCTACGAAACTGAACCATGATGTTTGTGTAGTTTTATGATAAAATCTATAAAGTATTCTTTAAAAAATACTTTCGCAGCCATAACATGCAGCTAGTTCTTTCCAAGTTGTCCGTAAGGCCTGACTTAATAGAATTCCAAGTAGAGGCTGGCACCGGCACACCGGGTTCTAGTCCCCGTTGTGGCGCCGGATTCTTTCCCGGTTGCCCCTCTTCCAGGCCAGCTCTCTGCTGTAGCCAGGGCAGGCAGTGGAGGATGGCCCAGGTGCTTGGGCCCTGTACCCACATGGGTACAGGCAGAGTGGATAGTGAGAGAGAGACAGAGAGAAAGGTCATCCTTTTGCCGTTGGTTCACCCTCCAATGGCCACCACGGCTGGCGCGCTGCAGCCGGCGCACCGCACTGATCCGAAGCCAGGAGCCAGTGCTTCTCCTGGTCTCCCATGGGGTGCAGGGCCCAAGCACTTGGGCCATCCTCCACTGTACTCCCGGGCCACAGCAGAGAGCTGGCCTGGAAGAGGGGCAACCGGGAAAGAATCCAGCGCCGCGACGGGGACTAGAACCTGGTATGCCGGCGCCGCTAGGTGGAGGATCAGCCTATTGAGCCGCGGAGTCGGCCTAAAATAAATCTTAAAAAAAAAAAAAAAAAAAAAGCTGCAGAAGGGCAGGCTTTTGGTCAGCAATTAAAACCATCACTTGAGACCCTCACATCCCACATGAGAGTGCCTATTTACGAAGTAGACCCTGGGAGGCAGCAGGTTCCTGCCGCCCACATGAGATCTGGGTTGCACTCTCAGCCCAGCTGGGCTATTGTAGGGGTTTGGGGAGTGAACCAGAGGGTGGCAGCTCTTTTTATCTGTCTGATCTCTCTATTCTGTCTATCAAACACAAAGTAACAATTTTTTTTTCCCAAGAGTAGCTCTTGGTTACTGTGCCCCTGTTTTATCAACACTCAGTGATGCAATGAATAACCACCTTGGGCATCCTCTTAGGTGGGAGTGAAGTCATTCTCCTCCCATCCCACTTGAAAAGAAGGGGAGGCCCTGTCTGCTGAGTGTGGTCTGCTTCTGCCTGGCCGGTTACCTGCCCATTTTGCTGCCTTTGTTCACGCAATCACAGAGGTCCTCACAAATGAGCTTCTTGTTGATTTTGTTATGTATTTTGTCAGCATTCCTTTCACCACCTATCAGCTTGTGTCTTCAAACCATTGTGCGTGGCCACCCTGTTGTCCTTCACCTTTTCTCCCCAAGACAGCCAGACTGCAGCTTTCTGCAGTGTTCCTGGATCAGTTTACAGCTACAGTTTGGTTCTTAATGCAATCCATAACTGTATTGTCTTCGGATGGGTTAACTTTAAGATATTTACATTTTTTTTCTTTAAACTGATAAATGTGATCTTTCTAAAAATAAAAATTCATAGTTAAATAAGCTGTTCCAGGTTAAGACAATGAAGTTTCTTAACTCATCCCTATAAGGCCAATAATCCCTGTATTGTGCAAACATGACTAGGATATAACACACAGACAGATGATGAAGGTTGAAAAGAAAAAACATTCTAAACACAACTCCACTTTCTAAGCACAAGCTTGAAAATCAACTGAAAACAAATGAGCAGACATGATTTCACAACACAGCAAAACACTACATTATGACCAGGTGGTAATATCACAGGAATCCAAAGGCGGTTCACTCAGACAGACATCATATGGAACAGCCGTTTCTCCACAGAAGATCTACAAATAGCCAAGCAGCACAAGGAAAGACACTCCCGTTACCAATCATTAAAGACAGACAGCTCCAGTGACCGGCCACCTCACACGCATCAGAAACAAAACCAGAGCCAGCAAGGTTGCAGAAATCAGGATTTTTGTGCACCTTTGGAGGGCACCTACAATGGCTCCTGAAAAGTGAAAACCTTAACTGCTATTTGATCCAGAAATCTCACCTTTGGTTATATACCCAAAAGAACTGATACTAGCACACCCACACCCACTGCATCACTATGCACGATAGCTGATAGCCAAGACATGTCGGGCAGGTGTTTGGCCGGGCAGTTAAAAACTGGCTGGGGTACCTGGTTTAAAGTTCCAGTTGATGGGCACCCTGGGAAGCAGCAAGTGATATCTCAGGTAGGTGGGTCCTGTCACTCACGTGGAAGATCCCGATGGACCTCCTGGCTCCTGGTATCAACCTAGCCCAGCCCTAACCACTACAGGCATTTGGGGGAGTGGACAGCCAGATGCTGTCATGGGGGAGGGGGAGGGGAATAGGTTGAGCATGTTCTAATAATTAAACACAACATGCTTGAATACTGCAACAAATATTACTCAGCCTTTTAGAAGAACATTCAACATCCTTTCATGATTTTTTTTTTTTTTGACAGGCAGAGTGGACAGTGAGAGAGAGAGACAGAGAAAAAGGTCTTCCTTTGCCATTGGTTCACCCTCCAATGGCCGCCGCGGTCCGCGCGCTGCGCTGATCCGATGGCAGGAGCCAGGTATTTATCCTGGTCTCCCATGGGGTGCAGGGCCCAAGCACTTGGGCCATCCTCCACTGCACTCCCAGGCCACAGCAGAGAGCTGGCCTGGAAGAGGGGCAACCGGGACAGAATCCAGCGCCCCGACCGCGACTAGAACCCAGTGTGCCGGCGCTGCAAGGTGGAAGATTAGCCTATTGAGCCACGGCGCCGGCCAACATCCTTTCATGATTAAAAACTCTCAAGAAATTACGTATAGAAGGAACAAGAAAGCCCACATCTAACATCATACTCAACAGTAGAAAGCCGAAAGCTTTTCTCTAAGATCAAGAGCCACGTGGGGTGACCATTTTCAACCTGTATTCAAGAAATCAGAGCAACTAAACAAGCAATAAAAGGCATCCAAGCTGGAATGAAGGTTGAATTGTCTGCAGATTATGTGACTGTATATAGAGAAAATCCTAAAGACTTCATCAAAACACCATTATAATAAATGAATTTAGTGAAGTAGCAGGATATAAAACCAACATACAGCATTAGTTGTGTTTCTATACAATAACAATCAAAAAATGAAGAGAAGAACTCCATTTCCAACAGCATCAATAAAATATTTAGAAATAAATTTAGCCAAGAAGGGGAAAGGAGTGTATACTGAAAATGATGTCACTGATTAAAGAAACGGAGAAAACACAAATAGTCAAAGTCATCTCGAACAGTAAGAATAAAGGTGGAGGCATCATCTGACTTCAAAAAGTGCTACATAGTAATCAAAAGTAATCAGAAGGGGACAAGGACAACAGGAAGATATCGCGGGATGAAAAGTTTGAAGATATGTTCATGTAATGGACACTGTAATGTATCAGGTACTATATCAACACTGTTAGAGATCAGATCTTCAATGTTTCAACGCAAAAAATGAGGTGATGAATATACTAGCTTGATTTATTTCTCAGCATACATATATTATCAAACACGTTGTATGCTGTAAATACAGCTTTTATCGGTCAATTACATTACCTTAATAAAACCAAGGCAGGAGTAGAACTAGTATGCTACTGGCGGAGAGACATGCAGGCCAAGGCAAATGAGAGAATAGGGAGGTCAGAAATAAATCCACAGGGCTGGCACTGTGGCACAGTAGGTTAAACATCTGCCTATAGTGTTGGTATCCTATATGGATGCCAGTTTGAGTCCTGGTTGCTCCACCTCTGATCCAGCTCCCTGCTAATGCGCCTGGGAAAACAGCAGAATATGGCTCAAGTGCTTGGGCCCCTGCATCCATGTGGGAGACCCAGAAGAAAAGCTCCTGCTTTCTGGTTTTGGATGGGACCAGCTCCAGCCATTGTGGCCATCTGGGGAGTGAATCAGCAGATAGAATACCTCTCTCTCCCTCTCTCTCTCTCTGTAATTCTGCCTCTCAAGTCAATAAATAAATCTTGGGGTTGACACTGTTGGCAACAGGTAAAGCTGCCGCCTGCAGTGCTGGTATCCCATATAGGCACAGGTTGAGTCCTGACTGCTCCACTTCCAACCCAGCTCCCTGGTATGGCCTTGGAAAGCAGCAGAAGATGGCCCAAGTCTTTGGGCCCCTGCACCCATGTGGGAGACCTAGAAGAAGCTTTTTGCTCCTGGCTTTGGATCCACACAGCTCAGACTGCTGCAGTCATCTGGGGAGTCAATCAGCGGATGGAAGACCTCTGTCTCTCTGCCTCTGCCTCTCTGTAACTCTGCCCTTCAAATAAATAAATCTTAAATAAATAAATAAATAAATCTTAAAAAGAAAGAAATCCATGCATCTATGGTCATGCAATCTTTGACAATGATGCCAAGAACACACACTGGAGAGAAAACAGTCTTCAATAAATGATACTGGGAAAAGTGGATTCCCACAAGAAGTATGAAATTACATCCTAGCCGGCGCCGTGGCTCAACAGGCTAATCTTCCGCCTTGCGGCACCAGCACACCGCGTTCTAGTCCCGGTCAGGGCGCCGGATTCTGTCCCGGTTGCCCCTCTTCCAGGCCAGCTCTCTGTTATGGCCCGGGAGTGCAGTGGAGGATGGCCCAAGTGCTTGGGCCCTGCACC